GTTTGCCCTCCAACCTGGGCTGTTTCTCCCCAAAAAAAAAAAAAAAAAAAAATGAACATGTTTTGGGGCAGAATACCCAACATTCTTAACTTTTTAAGAAAAAGTATGAGCCTTCAGAGATGTTTGCCCCTAACCTGGGCTGTTTCTCCCCAAATCTCCCAGTCCCCCCTCCCTAGGCATGTGCTCATCTTCTGTGGGAACATCCAAGCAGGGCTGGGTGGGTGGTGGAAACACCAGGCCACTCCTGGCGTCTACAGACATGAAGTGGTGATGTCTAGGGAGGTGCTAGCAGAGTCTCCCGAGGTCCAGAGCCCTAACCGCACAGTTGGGGTGTATGGGTGCATTGCCCTGATAAGAAGGCCTACAGCTCCCTCAGCTTCTCCAAGTCTGTGAGGACCTAGAGATGCTCACACCTGGTTCCTTGGACCTTGAGAGAGAGCTTTGGAAGAAGCGCAGGGCAGGGGAGGTCTCGTGGCTGAGCAGGGAGGGTCTTTGTCCAAGGCAGAAAAGGGCTGTTGATCACTTGGCCCACGGCCCTTTCCAGGGATCATAGTCCCTGTGTAGCTCTTTGTTCCCATGTCAGGGCCCATCTGTTCTGGAAACGCCCCGGGCCCGGGGTCAGTCTCCGTTGCCCAGCTTGGGCCCCCTGACATGCAGCGATGACTTTCTTCTGGCCTGAGAGCTGTGTCACTGGTGACACAACTTCTGAAGGCGAGGGGGTGGGGCCTTCACTCTAGAAATTCCCAAAGCTGCTTTGGACACCAGGTGTCACTAAGGAGCCCACAGGCTGTCCTGGAGACTGGCTCTGCCTCAACCAGGAGGTCCCTCTGGCCACCCGCCCCAGCCCTCGATGGCCCCGTTAGCTTTTCCACTTGCGTGCAGGGTGGGTTTGACTTTGGGGACTGGGGCTCACTGAGGCATCGCCCTCTTTTTCTACCCCAGGTCCCTTCCTGGGATAGAGCTCTGTGGACAAAATCCCGGGCTGAGAGCCTGAGTCTGTATCAGGTTTGGGAGATGAACCCAAGTTGGTCCTGGGAGAAGTGGCCTGGTGGACAGAGGCAGCCACTCAGGGGACATCTGCTTCCCTGGCTTCAGGCCGGTGTCTCTGGAGACATGGAGCAGGAGTCTCACACCTGTGTTTGTTTTGTTTCCTCCAGACATTTCAGCCTTCCCGCCGCCAGCCCCGATCCCCGACTCAGCCGACAGTGCCCGGTAGGCGCCCCTTCTCTTTCGTGAGGCTAAACCCCAATCCCTAACCCCCACCCCCAAAACCTCCGACCCTCCCGTCCTGGACAGCACTGTGTTCCCGAGCCGGCCGGATGGAGAACTCGGGCTCACTCACCTGTGTTTTATTTGCCCTCTCTCAGCACAGTTAGCATGGGGTGGGGCTGCATGTGACCCAGGAGGGTGGACAGAGGGCACTCAGCGTCAGAGACCTATTGGAACTGGCTCCATCAGGGTGTCCTTTCTCCCAGTTGGGCTGTGCAGAGTGCCGACTCCCATCGCCTCCTGTGCCCTAGTCCAGCGAAGCTGGCATCACAGTCGATGTCATCTGAACCCACAGCCAGCTCAAGGCCACTAAGTTCCATAAGGTCACACGGGGAGGAAGTGACAGCCAATTCTCCAAGGCCAGGCTGTTGGATTCTAAGTCCTTCCTGTGTGTACTCTGAACCCATGTACGGCAGTGACAGATCCGAAGGGGCCTTGATGGTTATGTCCACCCTCCAGCCTCTGTCACCTTCCTGCACACTCAAGACAGGCTGGAGAGAAGGCTGAGGCCGAGAAAGGTGCACCTGGTCCCTGGCCTCTGCCTGTCGCCACAGCATCCACCCACAGATGGCTGGGTCGCGGTGAAGGTCCAGGCCTGCTTGGTGGCCTTTTGTCTCAAGCCCAACCGGGGAGTCCCCTGCTCAGCCCAGAACCTCCTTAACCAGGCCTGTCTTACTCTTAGGCTCGACGACCCACCCAAAGCCGATGTGTTGGAGTTTCCTGAGGTGGAGGTAAGCCAGGGTAACAGACCCACAGACAGACTTTGCTTTCCCCTCTCGGACCATGGAGGGCTCTGGGGAGAGAGCGGGTGTCTCGTCCTGGCACGGTATTCCCAGGTGCCTGCAGATGTGCAGAGCAGGGAAGAATGATGAAGGATGCCCCAAACAGCCTTCCTCTGGCTCTTCTGGAGGCTAACTGGAATAAGCTCTGGGGTCTCAAGGTCCCCACTTCCTGTCCAAAGCCCTAAACTCAGTCAGTCTGGGATCACGTCAGACATCTTCAGGTGTCAGCACTTTCCAGGTGATTCTGATTTCGGGCAGGTTCAAGAACCTGTCCACTGAACTGAAGTATAAACTGAGCCTGGATCCCTGCTGTGCAGAGCAGCGTAGGGTCTGTTCCTGCTGCCTGGGGAGAGTCAGGAGCTCTGTGTTTAAACAACACAGTATCAGAAGGGTGGCTGGGTAACATTCTCCACGCCAGGGATGTCCAGGCCCTTCCAAAACAAATTAGATGCTGCTCACGGGTGAATCTTGGATCGTATGCAGGATGAAGGATCTGGCGGTCACTTGGGTCAGCAATCACATTTAGTGGATGAAGGACTCTGAGGCCCAGCGATGATAAATGACCTATCGCTGTCCTCAGCAGAGCAGAGCAGAGTGGCAACTAGATCCCAGCCCTCCTGACCCTGTGCTTCTCCTCCCTCACCTCATGGGGGCCCAGGGACAGAGGAGAGAAGACCTGGACCTCTCCATGTTTTCCCACTTCCTTTTCAGGCTGAGGAGCCAGAGGCTGGAAAGTCAGAGGCGGAAGATGACGAGGACGAGGTGGACGACTTGCCCAGCTCCCGCCGGCCCTGGCGGGGCCCCATCTCTCGAAAGGCCAGCCAGACCAGCGTGTACCTGCAGGAGTGGGACATCCCCTTTGAGCAGGTGGAGCTGGGCGAGCCCATCGGGCAGGGCCGCTGGGGCCGGGTGCACCGTGGCCGCTGGCACGGCGAGGTGGCCATTCGCCTGCTGGAGATGGACGGCCACAATCAGGACCACCTGAAACTCTTCAAGAAGGAGGTGATGAATTACCGGCAGACGCGGCACGAGAACGTGGTGCTCTTCATGGGGGCCTGCATGAACCCCCCCCACCTGGCCATCATCACCAGGTGAGCTGCCCGGGAACCCTGAGGAGGCAGGGAGGTTTTCATAGAGGCATAAAGAAAAAAAAAAAAAACAATGGGAGTAAATGCCCCACTCACATAGCCCCGATGTCATTACAAAAATAAGTGAGCTAGGCTGGTAGGTGCACACCTGTAATCCCAACAGCTCGGGAGGCTGAGACAGGAGGAGCACAAGTTCAAAGCCAGCCTCAGCAACTTAGCAAGGCCCTAAGCAACTCAGGGAGACCCTGTCTCTACATAAAACCCCAAATAGGGCTGGGGATGTGGCTCAGTGGTCAAGTGCCCTTGAGATCAGTCCCCGGTACCTAATAAATAAATAAGCTGATCTCTCTCTAAGGATACAGAAAATTCCAGTGTTCCATAAAAGGTACAAAGTATAATCCAGTCTACTGCCTTCCCCCGTAACTGGGCACTTCTCCCCCAAGATGGATAAACACCAGCATACCTTCCACTAAAACAAAGGAGTAGGCATGTACTCATGGAGTTTTTCCTTTATAAAAATACACAGGAAAGATCACACTGGTTCATACTTGCTTTTTAAACTTGGTTACAGTTCTGAGGTCCACTTTTCTTTCTCTATGCATTAACAGTGCTGGGGATGGAACCCAGGGCCTCATGCATGCGGGGCAAGCACTTGACCTCTGAGCCACACCCCAGCCCCTGCCACTTTGACATGTACCACCCATTTCTACAGCAGGAAGTGCCCACTGGTACCCTGCACCCATAGCAGTGTCCCCTCCCTGGAGCAGCAGGGCTTTGTAACCCTGGACCAGCTTTGCCCACAGCATCTAAGAAATTGTTGTTTACCTTAAAATCAGGAAAAGCAATATGAGGTCATTAAAGAAATTTGGAAATATACATGGAAGTTTCCAGAAGAATCTAAGCATTGCTTTATTTCTCGTCAGGCCAAGAGATCCCTCAGTAACATTCTGTTGACACTCCCCATACCCGGACCCTGTGCTTGGAAAAGCAACAATGTAATGAACAAAATAAAAATTAATTTCCATTTGGCTTCTGTCAGAGGTCCGAGTACCCACTCCCCAGGCCTCCTGAGCAGGGAGCCCTCCCCAGGGGCATGCAATTCCAGCCAATGTGGGACAACCTGATGCCTAGGGAGCCTGGCTGTGGTCACACCAGGTGACAGTCCCCAGGGTCACCTGCCAATGTTCGTCCATTCATTCATTCATCCATCCTTCCCTCCTCCTCTCAATTCCACAAGAGATTGGAGTCGGTGGAACAGGGGAAGGAGCTACCCGTTCTCTTAGGAGACCCAGGACACAGCTGCTTTGCTGGATATCACTCTGATGCCCCTGACAGCTGTCCCGCTTCTCCCTAGTTGCATGTTCTTTATTTTTTTTTTTTTTAAAAAAAAGGCTCTGGAATCTAAAAATAATAAGAACAATAATAAGCATCTTTACCGTGAACCTCAAAGCCTTTGTGTGGCCTCTTGTGTCCCTCAAAGGCCCGGTTCTCCCCTTTTGAATTTTCCTGCTTGTGGTCCGTCCTTCCTGCTGAGGGTGGGCTGGCTGCCCTGACTCCTGGGAGCTTTGGTGAACTGTTTCCTCGTGCAGGGTGGCAGGCCTCTGAGTGTGCAAGTGAGCGTGCTTCTGAAGGCCTGCCCACCAGGATTGGTGTCGGGCTTGGTGAAGGTCATTGATGTTGAGGGGTGGCAAGTACTGAGGAGGCAGGTGGGCCCGTCCCCTCCAATGGCTCCACAGGGGTAGGGTCAGGCTGTACAAGCCCCAGACCTCTGACCGACCCCACCACCCTCGACAGCTTCTGCAAGGGGCGGACGTTGCACTCATTTGTGAGGGACCCCAAGACGTCTCTGGACATCAACAAGACGAGGCAGATTGCTCAGGAGATCATCAAGGTAAAGGGGTGTGCAGCTAGCTGCTGGAGGGTGGATTTCCGGCTGGTCCCAGAGCACCTGTCCTCCTCCCCCGTCCTGCTGTCCCTGCTTGTGCCAGGGTGCTTTGGGGTGCTCTACCTCACCTGCTAGCTGGAGCTCCCAAGGTGGGGCCCACCTTCTTCCTTCTCAGAGTCAGAGCTGTTCACTTGGTCAACATCGATAGAATTAAATTAGTTGGAGAAGTTCTCAGTTATGTTCTGAAGACAGTTTGGCTCCTGTTCACACCAGCTGCGTGACCTTGGGCAGGTTGTTGCGCCTCTCTGAGCCTTGTAAAATGGCGATATCAATACACCCTCCTTCATTGGATCTGTGCAAGGATAAAATGCAGTCCTCTGTGCAGAGAGAATTTGGCACAAGGCAGGGCATTTGTTGAGGGTCTATTTGGAATGCTGACTGAATGAGGGGACTGGGATAAGGGGGCTGGTATTTAGCTTCTGGGGCACAAAGGAACCCACACTTTCTGCCTTAAAGTTTCCACATCTAAATTCTTCGAGGGCAGGCTCCCAGGGCTTCCTTTCATCATTTCAACAGTAATTCCTTGAAAGTGAAAGAAAAGCTCATTGGTTGCTTTCTTTAGCAACAAAGAGGCTCAAATAAAAATTAGAATACTGATGGGTGGGACTTCCTCTCTCTCCTCCTCGGTTTGTGCTAAAAAGCTTTCTTCTACCAGCGCCATCGAGTTTCCGTTTTGTCTTTCTCTCCTCCTTGTTCTCCTGCCTGCCCCCTTCTCTCCTCCCCTGTTCTGACCTTCAGTCCGTTTTGTGCACGTGGGATCAAAAATCACAGCGACATTTGTGGACGAACCAAGTTTGCCATGTGACGTGTCCCCGTGGCTAAGCACAGGCCAGCGGGAGCTGGGGGAGGTTTCCTCTTGCTTCCTCCAAGTCCTCCGCCTTCCCCACTCCCCCAAGCCCTCTCCAGTCCTCCCAGAGCTGGGAGGCTGCCTGGCTCCTGAGTCATGATCAATGACACCTGGAGATTCCAGGAACCAGGAGGGAAATTACTAAAAGGTTTCAGAAGCGGCCTCTGCTGGCTTATTTGATTTCTTTCCTGCTGCGAAACCATCTTCTTCCCCTTTGGGCCTTCCGGCCACAAACTTCCTTCATACAATCATCTCCGATGCTCTGGGGGGTCAAGCTAAATAAAAGGGGCCTAACTGTTGGTTAGGAGAGGGTCTGAGGTCAGGAGTGGCTACGGAAACATGAAATTCTGGGAAAGGAGACTCGGTACTCCAGACCCGACGCTTTTCATCTTGTCTTTGTAAACTGGCCTTTCTCAGTCTGTGACACCTGTTTTGTAAATAAGCCTCAGAGAGAAGGTGAGCTGCTTGAACTTAGGTCCACAGCTGGTCCCTGTCTGGGCCTCTGTGTGGCAGCTGGGCAAGGCGTGGGCCTTGGTTTGGTTTGGGAAATGGGCAGATGTTGCATGTTGAGAGCCACAGCCAAAGGGGCCCCAGCAAACTTCCAGCTGCCGGCTGATGATTGGCTCACAGTGGCCCCAGCACCATCTAGCTGATTGGCTCTTCTGCGGTGATGTTCATTGGGCTGTTTCCCTGCCCTTCAGACTGCCAGCTGATGATTGGCTCACAGCAGCCCCAGCAACATCTAGCTGATTGGCTCCTCCACGGAGCTGCTCATTGGGGGACTTCTTTGGCCCTGCCCACACAACCCAGCTAATCTGCCTCAAAAGCAGGAGGATTGTGGGAGGTGGTGAGGCTTGTGTGGGTGAGAGGCTTGTGGAAGCCGGTGGTGGCAGTTGGGCTCTGAGGGTTTTTTCCTGAGAAGCGGTTTTGTTTGGCATTTGTAGTTCTAAAAATAAAGTTAGTTTCTTTTGACAAGTGGCTCCTGAATTGTGCCCAGCCAGACTGCGGCAGTTGCATTCAGATCAGGGTTTGGGGAATGAAGCAAGCTGTTCTTTCCCGGAGCTCCCTGTCCCCCTGTCAGGTGACCACTCTCAGCAGGCCTGGGGGTGGAGCCCCAGCAGCTGCACACACACCCCAGGTCCTTCCAGAGGGGAGTCGCCTTGTTTAAATTCTCCAGCGCCCTCCAGACCCACCGGGACTGCGCTCCGGCTGGGGCTGAGTTGCTTCTGGTTCTGCCTCATGGTTGGTTGATCCTCTTTCCTAGATGTGGCTTGTTTGTCCCTAAAAGTCACCCACAGACCCCTGTATGGCCTGGGACATGTCTGCATAAGGCCTAAAGCTCCCTCGACTGTAGGAGGTCAGGGGGATTTTTATCACTTTGACCAAAATAGCTGATAGGAACAGTTGGGAAGAGGAGAAGTTTGTTCGGGGCTCATGGTTTCCAAGGTCTCAGTCCACGGTCCCCAGACTCCCTTGCTCTGGGCCTGACCTGAGCCAGGAAACCGAGGGAGGGAGGGAGGGCCAGAGTCACTGCCTCAAAGCCACCACTGAACCTTGCTGCTCTGAGGACTGTGCTTCCAGCTCATGAACCTTTGGGGACATTTCAGATCTGAACCATAGCAATGTCTTCTTTCCGAGCCGGAGGGGGTCCATTTCAGCCTTGGTGCCTCTCTCTGGTCCCCAGGGTATTGGGCTTTGCAGGAGGCCTAGGCTTGGGGGTTGAAAACAGCTTTGACCTTGGATGAGATCACTCTGTGTCAGTCACCTATGTTCCATGCATCTGGCTCATCAGTGTCCAGTCCAAAGAGCACTGATCAGCAGTTTCCCACCTTGCACTTGATAGATGAGGAGACCGAGGCTCAGAGAAGTTAGCACTGCGACCAAGGCTACACAGCTAGGGAGGGAGAATCCAAGCAGAGATGGACCGTGAAACCTGGATTGCAGTTTTCATCCAGGGCTTCTTTGGCCACAGCATGGATATTGGGAATACCCAAATTTGGGGACCCCTCTAGAAAGGTCTCTCTCCCTTTCTGAGCCCTTGCCCCTCCAGAGAGCAGAGATGAGCTGTGTAAATCCTGATGGAGACTGCAGCTCATCTGGGCCCTTTGTGGCCTAACCCAGACGGTGTTATTTTTATGTATTTTATTTTATTTATTTAGCTAGCAGTTCTGGAGATCAGACCAGGGCCTCGTGCATTTTGTACAGCTGAATTACATCCCAGCCAGCATTGTTGATCTTTATATAGTCAACCTTCCTGACCCCCCACCAATCACCCTATCCACATCTTATCCAAGTGTGAGGTGGCTATTTGGTAGCCCAATGGTGTAGAAAGAGTATGCGCTGGCTTAGAGTCAGATCTGAGCTCTGCTACTTAACTGCTGTGTGGTTAGGGGCAAGTAACTTCCCCTCTGAAGCATCCCGCCCAGGGCCTGGCCCAAGTTGGAGCTCAGTCATCATCACTTTGTCTAACGGGAGGCTTGCTATCTTCCAGGGCATGGGGTATCTTCACGCCAAGGGCATCGTGCACAAGGATCTCAAATCCAAGAATGTCTTTTACGACAATGGCAAAGTGGTCATCACAGACTTTGGGCTGTTTGGGATATCAGGAGTGGTCCGAGAAGAACGGTGAGCTGGCCTTGGGTGTGTGGGTGGGATGGGAGAAGCTGGCGTGCGGGGTGTATCTGGGGTCCATGCACATGGCCTTCCCCACAGAAAAGCCCAGGCTGGTGTGGTCCTGCCCTGTGGTTCTGGTCCAGAATCCCATCTAGTGAGATTTGGGTCCCTCCTGGTGCTTGATTCACAGGGAGTCTAGGTCCCCTGACTCATGTGTCGCCTCACTGCTCACAGAACTGGATGAGAGACCAACGTCACATCCCCATGATGAGGAAGAGCTTCAGGTTTTATTTCCTCTGGTCTTGAAGGGGGAAGGGTAGGGAGAAAGGCTGTCTCCCCACACCAGAGAGAGCGGCAGCTGGGCTGCAGGGCCCCGCAGGCAAGACTGAGACCTAGGCAGACTGTCCCACCCTCCCAGCAGAAAGACTTGGGCACCTTCACATGCAGGTCCCTGCCAGTACCATCCTTGGCCTGCTTTCCTAGAGGAACCCAGGTAGGGTCCCCGGGACAGTCCCTAGAAGCACCCATGTAGGAGCAGGAGCAGCGTTCTGTGCTCGGGTGCCTTTTCTGCACGGGGCTGGGGTGGTTTGCTGACCTCAAGGCAGATGTGGGCAGGGCAGGCCTCTTTGCTGCCCACTGAAGGGCCTGTGTTCTCATCCTGGCCTCCAGGCGTGAGAACCAGCTCAAGCTGTCCCACGACTGGCTGTGCTACCTGGCCCCTGAGATTGTGCGCGAGATGACTCCCGGGAAGGACGAGGACCAGCTGCCCTTCTCCAAAGC